CACAAGCTAATAGGCCTTTGGATGTGGAAAACGCCCCATGGAAGGCATTTCAGGCTGAGGAAACGGAACAGGCAAAGGAACAGAGGCTTGGCGGCATGAGGGGCATTGTGCATGAGGAGCCTGGGGTGGCTGGTGTGGAGGGTGGGAGGGCACCCAGAGGCTGGCTGGGGTGGGGCTCTGTCCTCCTCGTTCCTGTGGCCATATTTCCCAGCCACAGCAACACCTGAGCAGCTCATGGGGCAGGCACTTAACATCACCTTGGTTCATTCTCACAAGAAACCTGTGGTGTCTCCATTTGACAGATGAGGGGACTGCACTCAGAGTAGCTTTCTTTATTTCTTCTGTCCATCAGGGCATACTCATGCCCAGTCCCCCAACCTGTGTGTCCTCCGCAAGCTCACCCACACCCTACCCTTTTATCAGTACCAGACCTCAGGGCTGTCCAGACCCTGAGCTGCTCAGCAGTGCCTCCTCAGAACCCTCAACATGGGACCCTATGTTTCACGCTCCAGGCTGGCCAGATCTCAAGTCCCAAAGTATATGCAGGTGTCCTTGTCCCAGACCAGCTGCAGGGTGAGGGCCATGGCTGCTCACCCTCAAACCCACTTTGGCCAAGCAGCACTGCCTCACTTGCAGTGTGCTCTCAGAAACCAGCCTCATATGAATGTTTGCACACACATTCTTTCGATGTTGGAATCATTCTCCCCATTGGATGGAAGAAGAAATTGAGGACTAAGGAGGCTGAGTAACTTCCTCTGCAACTCGCGGCCTCAGAGTGGCAGGCCGGATCAGGGACTCTGCTCTTATCCCAGCCAGGCTCAGGTCCTTGGCTGGATCAGCTGGGGAGGGGACAGGCCTCAGATAGGGTGGGGTGGACATGCTTACCTCACATCTTACTGGGGTGTGACTTGGAGTAATTCACTCCGTGTCCTAGTTTTCTGACCTCTGGAATGGGGATAAACTACCTAGATGTGCTCTTTACAGGGTTGGGCAGTGATTACAGGAGACTGGAAAAGAAAGGGCACCCACGGGGCACTCCCCGTCAGTTTCCACCATGCCTGCACACAGTAGGCACCCTGTAAGCACTTATTTGATCTTATAGTTGGCACTAATCTTGACCCAGCACTTCTAACAACAGGGTGGCATGAAGAGTTAGGCCAGGATGGATTAAGGAATTCAAGAGGATTACTTAGTAATCAGCTAAACCACTTAAGCTGCCTGGGAAAAGGCTAGGATCAGCCTGTTCATTAATTTATTCAATAAATGACTGTTGACCTGGAATGATGATGATGATGATGATGATGATGACGACGACGATAGTGATGGCAGTGCTCAGCTATTGAGAATCTACGGTGTGTGGGGTATTTTATATAGAGTCTCATCATGTCAGCCCTATAAGGTTGATATATTCAAGTTGTGTTGTTGTTCTGTAATAGGGAAGGTGCTAGTCGGGTCTGAAACTAAGGCGAGGCAAAAGAGATACCCAGGGCACACATTTAAGGAGGACCCTGCTGTTGGGGACCAGAATCCCCACCCTAGTGCTTGTGGTGAACACTATGTGCTGCCCAGTGTCCCCTTCTATGAAATCACTGCCCTAGGCTGACACTGTGGCTCTCATCCTGTAACTCCATCACTTTGGGAGGCCCAAGGCAGGCAGATCTCTTGAGGCCAGGAGCTGGAGACCAGCCTGGACAACATGGTGAAACCCCATCTCTACTAAAAATACAAAAGTTAGCTGGGCCTGGTGGCGCATACCTGTAATCCCAGCTACTTGGGAGGCTGAACCCAGGAGACCGAGGTTGCAGTGAGCAGAGATCGCACCACTGCACTCCAGCCTGTGCAACAGAGCAATACTCTGTGAAAGAAAAGAAAAGAAAAGAAAAGAAAGAGAAAGAAAGAAAGATAGATAGAAAAAGAAAGAAAGAAAAGAAAGAAAGGAAGGAAGGAAGGAAAAAGGAGAGGGAGGGAAAGAAAAAAAGAAAGAAAGAGAAAAGAGAAAAAAAGGAATAATTACTGTAGCCCCCAGGAGTGCTATTGGTAGGCAGCCATCCCCTGGCAGCTCCTCCAGGAATGGGCTCACCTGGGGATAGCTGCCTTGCCCAGTCACGTCACTTCCCTGGGCAGCTCACATCCAATGACTGATGGAGGCAGGAGTATAAAAGATTAAAATGGCCCAACTCAGGCCAAGGCTGAAGGGCCCTTCTAGCTCCAGAGCTCTCAACAGGGCTGGCCAAGGCTCTTGCCAGGCCTGCTTTGTAGCTTCCTAGCTTGCTTCTGCTTCTGTCCCCTCCCTTCCGCAGGTGCTGATGCTGAAGGCACTCCCTAATCCACCCCTTGCTAGCTGCATGTCATCTCAGAGTCTGCTTCCTGGGAAATCCAACCTGCAACAGTATCACTGATGGAGTAACTCCTTTCTAGCTAAAACACAGCCTTCCTAAGATTCTAATACAAAGGCATCTCCAAAGGTATCACTACAAACCACACTGCTCTCAATACTTTACCTGCATTTGCTTGTTTAATCTCCACAGCAGTTCTATAGGGTAGTACTATTAGCATTCCCGTTTTATAGCTAGGTTCAAGGGAAGTTATACTTTTCTTGAAAGAAAAAAAAAATCCCACAAATGGCAGCTTGTTGATAAAATCCAGTCAACCAAAAGATCATTCAAAATAAAGACTATCAGCCTGGAAACTTTCATATGGATAGAAAAGAAAAAAGGATGGAAAAATGTCTGTATCATGACTCGGTTCCCAACCCTGAGGAAACCTGATTCCTGACCCCAAAGACCAGCTGAGTTATAAGAGTGAAATCCACAGGACCAAAGAGGCAACAGTTGCTTTAGGAGGCAGCCCCAGGGGAGAGGTGAGAGACACCCTGTTGGCACCACGGGAAGCTTGTGTGATTCTCTTAGGAGAGCCAAGACTTGGGAGGTGTAGTGACTTGCTTGAGGTCAGGCAGCTAATAAGAGTTGCTTCTGGGCCAGTCGCGGTAGCTTATGTCTGTAATCCCAGCACTTTTGGAGGCTGAGGCATGCAGATCACCTGAGGTCGGGAGTCCAAGACCAGCCTGACCAACTTGGAGAAACCCCATATCTACTAAAAATACAAAATTAATTGAGTGTGGTGGCACATGCCTGTAATCCCAGCAACTCAGGAGGCTGAGTCAGGAGAATAGCTTGAACCCAGGAGGTAGAGGTTGTGGTGAGCCAAGATTGTGCCACTGCCCTTCAGCCTGGGCAGACGACAAGCCCATTGATCTCCCCACTGCCTCTACCCGTACTCTCTCTTCCCCTGGTCGGGAATGGTAGGGTCAGAAGTCTCCAACAGGAGCAGTGGCTCACACCTGTAGTCCCAGCACTTTGGGAGCCCAAGGTGGGCAGATCATCTGCGGTTGGGAGCTCAAGACCAGCCTGATCAACATGGAGAAACCCCATCTCTACTAAGAAAAATTACAAAATCAGCCAGGCATGATGGTGCATGCCTGTAATCCCAGTTGCTTGGGAAGCTCAGGCAGAAGAATTGCTTGAACCCGGGAGGCAGAGGTTGCAGTAAGATGAGATTGGGCCATTGCACTCCAGTCTGGGCAACAAGAGCAAAACTCCATCTCGGAAAAAGAAAAAAAAGAAGTCTCCAAACAGTGTCAGGAACTTGGGGATCCAGGCGGTGGGCTGCCCCAGCCTCATTTTCTCCCCTGTCCCTCTGTCTGCTGTCCAACTTGTCAGCAGTCTCTTTTGGAGGGATGAAGGAGGGAAGAGCTCAGCGGATGGACTCCCTCCTCTGCTTCCCCCTTAACTCTGGAAAGAGGCAGGTGTTGGGGTTTTCGTTGTAATCCCCACCACATGGAGAGCACTTTGGAGTTTACCAACTGCTTATCAACCCATCTCTGAATTTGTTCCTTACTAATTGAGAGGTTTATTGCTTTGTAATGTAGCAGGGCAGGGATATTTGTCCCATTTTACTGCTGTGGAAGCTAAGGCCCAGAGAGACGGGAATCAGGGCAGTGTCCAGGTCAGGGCCAAACCCTCCTGTCCTAATTTAGCCCTGTGGTTTCTGTCTCTGGCCCTCTATGAGCCCAGAGCTCAGGCCAGTCCCTTTCCAGAAGCCTCTCTTTCTCTCTTCATCCTATCCTAGAAATTCCGTGAACTTAAGGGAGACCTTTATTCATTTGCCAAACACCTCCTGTCGCCCCCCACATGCCCATCCGGTAGCTTCAGAGCACAGTGTGGCCTGGGAGAACACACAGGCTGGTGGAGGGCCACATCAACAAACAAGCCTGGCATGAGAGCCAAGCCCAACTGCTGGGGACAGAAGGTCTCAGCCTGCTGTTCCTTTCCAGAATCCCTGGAATCCACACTCTCCTAGAGAATGCCCCACCACCGTCCTAGCATGGTCTGCGGCATCTCTGACCTGGCCTCCTCCCTACATTCAATCTCTTTCCCAGGTTTTCTCCCACATCCCAGAAGCACCTAGGGGTTTTTCCAGAGTGAGCAGCAGAGGGTGGCCAGGAACTCACACTGGTGCTCAGGACTCAGTGTGAGTTCCTGGACCAAATCCTGCCAGGTCCGGGCACACTCCATATCCCTCATCTGTAGAAAGAGGACTGTGCTTCCCTCACAAAATTGTCGTAAAGCCGTCTGACCTTTCCTGACCCTTCTAGACACCCCATACCTTCCCCAAACATTGCTTGGACTTGTGTGCTTTCCTGCCTTGAAACGGGCTCTTACTCTAACTCCTAAAAACACGTCACTCAAGGCTCTGTTCATCACATCAAATGTCACCACTTCCCTGAAGCCTGAACTGACCCCAACCCCAACTATTAATAGCTAACTGCTCCCTCCTCTGGGTGTGCCCGGTTGGCCGGTCTATTGTCCTGGCTGTACAATCTTCCCCTAGAACTGTTTTCTAGAACTCATCACAGTCTTCCTTGCAGCAAGTTTAATTTATTTCCAGGCCTGTCACCCACCTCCTCCCACCTGGACTGTGATTCCATGAGCATGTATCAGGTTGACACAGGGCCTGGAAAAAAACCAGCGCCAATTTGTAGAATAATTGCCGTCACTTACTGAGAACTGCCCAGGTGTCTGGCACTGTGCTAAAGGCAGCATAAGTACCTGAGGAGACAAGGACCATCTCCCTCTAGGAAACAGCCTCAGAAATCTGAACAGATGGTGTCTTGGGCAAGGGAGAAAGCCAGGGTCCAAGTCACACTGTCTGAACCCGGTGCCACCCAGCTCCTCTCTGGCAGAGCACCAAGCTCCCCCTACCCTAAGAGCTGGGAAGTCCAGTTACCCCACCACCCAGTGGCAGCCTCTGTCCTCCAGGTTGTGACATAACAATTGCACAATCCACAAGATATTTTTGAAAGAAACTGTCAGTTTCCTCTCCTGGGCACTGTGGCCCCCATGCCATCCAGTGTCTTCAGCAGACTTGGGACTTTGGAAGCTAAATATAGTCAGGACTCGGGATGATAAGGAAATGAAAACGTCAAGACTGTAAAGTGACCCAGTTTTATTTTGGTTTTGGAGGCTAGATAGGGCACTGCTCCACAGGTTCAGGCTGTACAAACTCCCCCTCCTTGAGGTGGGAGGCCCAGCAACCGCAGGGCCCAGGCAGCAGGGTGGGAGCTCAGGAGATGGTGGCTCTGGGAACCTGATCCCCAGAAGAGAGGGTACAGCAGGCAGAGGCCTGCAATGGCTCAGATTGAGGGGAAACGGAGGCGAGGGGTAGAGGACACGATCCAAGAACCGGAGTCCGAAAGCTGAAGCTGGTCCAGTCTCCTTCACTTTACGGCCGAGGCTGGGGTCAGGTAAGTGAAGCCAAACTGTCCTCCCGCAGCAGGCAGGACCTGGAAGGACGCCAGGGTCCCAGCTCGGCGCTGGGCCCCGCGCACACAGCCGCCGCCTCCACCGTCGCGGAGAGCGCACGCGGGGCGCAGTCTCTGGGTGGGGGGTCTGGCGGGCAGTCGGGCCCCTTCTCCTCTCGGGGACGCGGGGCAGGCGCCGGCTGCGCTCAGCAGCTTACGGAGCCGGCGGGCGGCGCGGATCCCAAGTCCCAGAAGCAGTCGAACTCGCTCTGGCCCAGGGAGAGCTCAGGCAGCTCGCGCACGCGGTGCAGCCCGAGCTCCAGCTCCAGCGACGTCAGCGCCTCCTCGTCGATGAGTTCGGCGTCCATGCCTACCAGGCCGTTCGCGGGCGGCGGCGGGGCCGCAGCGCTGGGCACCGGCTGCGGGCCCGGGGGGCCTCCCGGGGCGCTGGGGGGCGCGGCTGCGCGGCCGGGGCACAGCGTCGCCACAGGCTGCAGGTGCGCGTTGCCCGCGGCCGGCGGAAGCACGGCCGGAAAGGGCTGGAAGGAGGACGGCTGTCCGAAGGCCCCGTAGGTCAGGGCCCCGGGTTGGGGGGGCGGCGGCGGCCCCAACAGAGGCCCTCGCGGCCTCAGTCCGCTGTCCAGGCCCGGGCCCGCGTACGGCGGTAGAGTCCGGAGCGAGTGAGGGCCGTGGGCGGCCGCGGCGGACGGCGGCCTCTGCATCAGGCGGTAGCCCTCAGCGAGCATCAGGTGGTCGGCCATGGCGGCTGGACGGCTGCCTGCGGGGACAGCACGCGGTGGTCAGCGCCGGCTCCCCCGGCCGAGGCCAGCGGCTCCTCTGCGGCGGGAGACCCGGGCACCGTGCGGTCCCTGCAGCTCGGCCGGGTGGAGGAAAACCGAACCCGACTCGTGCCCCGACCCAGCCCACTCCTGCGCACCCGCGGTCGCAACTCCGTGTCGCAAACACCCGCACTAGGTAGCGCTCCGAAACCTCCGCGCGGCGTCCCGGGGTTCGGCGTACTCTTATAACCAGAGGCGGGTCTTCCCGCCCTCGGACGCTCATTGGCTTGGCGAGACGCTTCTGGGCGGGCAGCGTACGCCCGCTTCTAGGATTTGGCCCCGCCCCCGCTGGATCCCCGCCCCCGCCCCAGGCTCTGAGCACCGCCCCGGGGCGGGGTGTTTGGCACTTTGAGAGGGATTCGGTGTGGCCTTCCGGGCTTGTTAGTCGGGGCTTGGCTGGGGTCGAGCTTGAACTGACGAGAAGGTGGGGTGGGTGGGCCAGAGGTTTAGGCCCCGCAAGAGCTTCAGGATGTCAGGCCCACACAACCTGTTAATTTTCCAGATAGAGACTGAGGCTCAGTGGCGGAAGAGGCTTCCTGGTCTTGATCCGAGTGAGACTCGTGTCCAGCCTTTGTGATTGCACAGCTACACAGGGTGCATGCAGTTTAGTGGTGCAGGGTCCTTGCAGGAGGTCAGCTGTCCATCTCCATAACCCCCAGGAGAGTCTGTTGCTCCCCCTCTCCTTCCCACCGCACCTTGTCTGTTGAAGCATGTACTGAGTTGTTATTAAAGTAATTTATGGGCATGTCTCCTGAAGGACTTGTTCATCTTCTTCTCAGCACTTGGCCCAGAGCCTGGTCCAGAGCAAGGTTTTAGTAAAAGCTGAGTGAATGAACTAATGATGGAATGAATTGCAACTCTCAGCTGAGCCTCAGTTTCTTCATCTGTAAAAGGTGAAGGACAGCAGCACTCTGTCTTTGTGAGGGGTAAGTAGGGGCATGTGCATACAGTGCCCAGCACAGATGCCCAAAAGTGTCCCTCAGATGAATGAAAGGCTGTTTAAGTTCTGTCCCGAAGGGCCTTCCCTTGATAACAGCAATAATAACTTGGGCTTTTAGGATGCTTACATTCTACAAGTATTTGTTGGGGGCAGGGCATGTATTATCAGCCCTATTTTGGTGATAAGGAGAGGCACACAAAGAAAGAGTGGCTGTCCCAAGGTCACAGGCAGCCAGAGTTAGCCTGTGAATGCAGTGTGTTTTCCAAGGCCTTAGGGCAACTGGAGTCTTTCCTGTGGCCAGGAGACAGCCTCCCAGACCTTGCCCTCCACGAATTGACACACACACTCTCCCTTTTCTGATCTTCCTCCCCCCGTGTTGTCCTTGGGACTTCCTGGAACTTGAGTTTATCCAGTTGACCTAGAGGGGAGAGCCCTAGAGTGGTAGTTCAGAGGCCCAAGGTCTTTTTTTTCCTCTTTCTTCTTCTTTTTTTTTTTTTTAAATAGAGACAGGGCAGCAGGGGGCGAGGAGGGTCTCAGGCTGATCTCAAATCCCTGGCCTCAAGTGACCCTGCCACCTTAGCTTTCCAAAGAGTTGAGATTGCAGGCATGAGCCACTGCACCCAGCCAGCGGCCCAAGTTCTAATCATATCTCTGCCACCCGCAGAGGTGTGACCTCTACTACTAACGGGCTGTGACTGTTGAGTGTTGAGCAGGGAGTGTCACTTGATTCCCCAGGGCCTCAGCTTTCTGCTCTGTGAAAGGGAGATGGTGATCTTTCCTGGTCAATCTGAGAGCTTGTGGGAAGTGATAAATGACCATTGGCGTGGCCACTTTTTGCAAAGTGTAGAAGCTACACCCTGGAATTTATTCCCCTGAATCTTTCTCTACAGGTAAGCCTTCTCACAGAAATTCCTAAACCTGGCCATACCTCATTTATTTGGAGATGTGGGGGGCAAGGGGTGGGTGAGTGGGGGCTTTGAGAAAGAATTTCTGCCCACCCTAACTTCCTGACACAGACTCTCTGAGGGTATTTTTAAATTATAAGAATCTGTATTTTCTTTATTTAAAGTCACTCTGGGCTGGGCATGGTGGCTCACACCTGTAATCTCAGCACTTTGGGAGGCAGAAGTGAGAGGATTGCTTGAGTCCAGGAGTTCAAGACCAGCCTGGGAAACAGAGTGAGATCCAGTCCCTACAAAAACTTAAAAAATTAGTTGGGCATGGTGACATGTACCTGTAGTCTGAACTACCCAGGAGGCTGAAGTGGGAGGATTACCTTAGCCCTGGAGGTAGAGGCTGCAGTGAGCCATGGTGGGGCCACTGCATTTCAACCTGGGTTGCAGAGATCCTGTCTCAAAAAATGAACAAGTAGGCCAGGTGGGTGGCTCACGCTTGTAATCCCAGCACTTTGGGAGGCCGAGGCAAGCAGATCCCTTGAGCTTAGGAGTTCGAGACCTCTGTCTCTGCAAAAATAAAAAAACTAGCTGGGGTGGTATGCACTTGTAGTCCCTGCTACTCGGGAGGTTGAGGTGGGAGAATCACTTGAGCCTGGGAAAGACAGAGAGACAGAGAGACAGAGAGAGGAAGGAAGGAGAAGAAAGGAAAGAAAGAAAGAAAGAGAGAGAGAAAGAAAGAAAAGAAAAGAAAGAGGGAGAAAAAGGTAAAATAGAGTAGGAAAGATGTTGGATGCAGGGGTGGAAGGGAGCAGGTTGCAGTATTGCAAAGGATGGCCAGCCTAAGCCCCATTGAGACCTCAGGGTTTGAGCAGAGACTTGAAAGAAATGGGATATCTGGGGCAAAAGTGGGCTGGGCATGGTGGCTCACGCCTGTAATCCCAGCATTTTGGGAGGCTAAAGTGGATGGGTCACTTGATTCCAGGAGTTTGGGACCAGCCTGACCAACATAGTGAAACCTTGTCTCTATAAAAAATACAAAAATTAGCCAGGTGTGGTAGTGCGAACCTGGCTCCTAGCTACTCAGGAGGCTGAGGCAGAAGAACTGCCAGAACCCAGGAGGCAGAGGTTGCAGTGAGGTGAGGTGGCACCAGCCTGGGTGACAAAGTGAGATGCACTCCAGCCAGCCTGGGTGACAAAGTGAGACTCTTTTTTTTTTTTTTGAGACGGAGTTTGCTCTTGTTACCCAGGCTGGAGTGCAATGGCGCGATCTCAGCTCACCGCAACCTCCGCCTCCTGGGTTCAGGCAATTCTCCTGCCTCAGCCTCCCGAGTAGCTGGGATTACAGGCACGCGCCACCACGCCCAGCTAATTTTTTGTATTTTTAGTAGAGACGGGGTTTCACCATGTTGACCAGGATGGTCTCAATCTCTTGACCTCGTGATCCACCCGTCTCGGCCTCCCAAAGTGCTGGGATTACAGGCTTGAGCCACTGCGCCGGCCCAAAGTGAGACTCTATTTAAAAAAAATTAAAAAGGCTGGGCACAATGGCTCACGCCTGTAATCCTAGCACTTTGGGAGGCTGAGGCGAGAGGATCACCTGAGGTCAGGAGTTTGAGACCAGCCTGACCAATAGACCAACATGGTGAAAACCCCTCTCTACTAAAAACACAAAAATTAGCTGGGCATGGTGGTGTGCACTTGTAACCCCAGCTATTCGGGAGGCTGAGACAGGAGAATTGCTTGAACCCAGGTGGCAGAGGTTGCACTGAGCTGAGATAGAGCCATTGCACTCCAGCCTGGGTAACAGAGTGAGACTCTGTCTCAAATAAAAACATTGCACATACAATTATGCACAGTACATTTGATAATGATAAACAACTATATGTACTTATGGCAAGTTTTATTGTTATTTTAGAGTGTACTCCTTCTACTTAATAAAAACAGTTAACTGTAAAGCAGCCTCAGGCAGGCCCTTTAGGAGGTATTGCAGAAGGCACTGTTATCATGGGAGATGACAGCTGTGTGCATGTTATGGCCACTGAAGACCTTCCAGTGGGCCAAGGTGTGGAGGTGGAATACAGTGAGGCTGATGATCCTGACCCTGGGTAGGCCCAGGCTAATGTGTGTGTTTGTGTCTTAGTTTTAACAACAACAACAACAACAACAACAACATTTTGAAACTAGAAAAAAACTTATAGGATAAGGATATAAAGAAATAAAATGGGCTAGATGTGGTGGCTCATGCCAGTAATCCCAACACCTTGAGAGGCTGAGGCAGGATGATCACTTGAGCCCAGGTGTTTGAAACTAGCCTGGGCAACATAGCAAGAACTTTGTATCTACCAATAATAAAAAAATTAGTTGGACATGGTGGTATGCACCTGTAGTTTCAGCTACTTGGGAGGTTAAGGTGGAAGGTTCACCTGAGCCTAGGAGGTCGAGGCTGCAGTGAGCCATGACTGTGCCACAGCACTCCAGCCTGGATGACAGAGTGAGACCCCGTCTTCAAAAAAAAGAGGGCCGGGCAAGGTGGCTCATGTCTGTAGTCCCAGCACTTTGGGAGGCCCAGGTGGGCAGATCACCTGAGGTCAGGAGTTTGAGACCAGCCTGGCCAACATGGTGAAACCTTGTCTCTACTGAAAACACAAAAAATTTGCGAGGCATGTTGGCACAAGCATGTAATCCCAGCTACTTGGGAGGCTGAGACAGGAGAATTGCTTGAACCCAGGTGTCAGAGGTTGCAGTAAGCCAAGATGGCACCACTGCACTCCAGCCTGGGCAACAGGGCAACCCTCTGTCTCAAAAAATAAATAAATAGAAAAAAGGAAAAGCTGTACAATGTGTTTGTGTTTTAAGCTAAGCGCTATTACAAGAGAGTTTAAAAGTTCTAAAAAGTATATAACGGGCTGGGCATGGTGGCTCATGCCTGTAACCCCAGCACTTTGGGATGCTGAGGCAGGTGGATCACGCGGTCAGGAGTTTGAGACCAGCCTGACCAATGTGGTGAAACCCTGTCTCTACTAAAAATACAAAAATTAGCCGGGTGTGGTGGCATGTGCCTGTGGTCCCAGCTACTCAGGAGACGGAGGCAGAAGAATCGCTTCCGGAAGGCCGAGGTTGAAGTGAGCCGAGATCATGCCACTGTACTCCAGCCTGGGCAACAGAGACTCCATCTCAAAAAAAACAAAACAAAACAACAACAACAAAAACTATATAATGTTACAGTAAGCTAAGGTTAATTTATGATTAAAGAAATAAGTCCACCTTGGGAGGCCAAGGCAGGTGGATCACCTGAGGTCGGGAGTTCGAGACCAGCCTGATCAACATGGAGAAACCCTGTCTC